TGTTCAGACATAATCATGATGCACCATTATGCCATTCACATGGGGAAAAAGCAGCAAACCCAAAGTTACAGAAGTATTTCAAGTATTTCAAGAGGTTCTGATGTGGTAAATTTGGACTCTGAGTTTTGTCAAGCCCAATGTAATGGGCACTGTGTTCAGCAAAATATCAGTGCTGAAAAAGGAGTAGGAACTGCAGTTAAGATACGAAGAACAGGCTGATAAATGATTGTAACTGTACACAGTACTGAGTATGGATGTCAAAACAGTCCTATGGAATTAAACAAAGAAGAAAGGTAACTTTTAGCTAAATATGGAGGCTTAAAAATACATAGGCAAGATTACTGAGACAAGTTGTTTCAAACAAGAGCACTGACACTGTCATCACTTCCTGACAATACATAAGTTGCAGGTTATATTCAATAAACAACTGGATCTTAATAAATAATCAAAATAAAACTGACCTAAGCAGTGCTGGTGGCATGCTTACCTTTCCAGGAACAGGCAGAAAAACACATTTATCACTGTAAAACTAGACAATTTACTCTTGTTTGCTACTTCACACATCTCAACTCCGTCTGTAGCTGGAAGGACAAAATGCCTCCACGCTGATGAGTAATTATTTCAATTGCATAATCTTCCTTATTTATTTTTCTTTTGATCTCATATCCAATCTCCAGAAGAGATAGCTATGCAGTCACTATTACAGAATTCTGTCACCTTTCTCTTTGTTTTGTAGAAAAGTAACTTTTATTTACGTATTTTGTTCTGCAGATTCATTTACATAGACTGCCTTAGTAGGCTATCATTATTTTGAATACTAAAACCAAATTAATCTCAAAATACTGTATAAATTTAATGAAGTATAACAGTTTATGATAGGTTTTGAACGCTTAATATTCGGTCAAGATCACTTTTTGCATTCAAGAAGATGTACTACATCTTATTACTTGCTTTCTGTCAAGGCACAATTTTACAGACTCCATTCTTCGAGGCAAAGGTTACATTTTTATTTATTTACAAACAAAACAAACAGTGACTGTTTATAACATTTTAGGTCTCAGTCCAAACTCTTAGAATATATCTGCTGTAAGGCAGTGTTAAGAATGATGAACTTCTGAGTACAATTAATGCCTATGAAGGCTTCATACACTTAACTAAATGGCAACACACCACCTAACAGCTGAGGTGCTGCTCAAACACGTGCTGAAACATGGGCCAGACCCTCAAGAGGTGTAAATCAACACAATCCCTTTACTGGTCTGTATTATGCCTGCTGACAATATAATGTAATTACAGCAATTTAACAGAATTCAAATGAATGTTAATTAACAAGGACCTGTCTCGGTGATTTAGGGTCAATAAAGTGGGTGTCCAAAAGACATGGAAATGAGACAAACTGATTAATTCAGCTCCCTAACCTCCTCTCCAATAAATGATTGCATTTGGACCAATTTTGATCTTTTTGAGAATGTATTTATGCATCTGATGCTCATGTGTTAAGACAGACGTCTCTGAAAAACCAAACCAGCTGCCTGGTTAGGTTTAATCTTTAGCAGTATTAATGAGCAGAGTCCATGAAATGCCTACATTTCAATTCCAGACAGAAATTTCAATTAGCAAATTAGGGAGTGAACTGCCAAAGAAATACTAGCATGTACTCTTAAGTTTAATGTCATTTCACTGGTTGTGCAGATTTTATGATAAAATACGATTTGGTATTTAAGTATAAGTTATACTTTTTGTAGAGATGTTACATAGGAAGAAAGTAATCTTTTTATTATCAATCTTTAACTTGATTATACCATGGCATGCCAAATTGTGCTTAAATAATTAATTCTGACGAAGCGAAACCTGGCAGAAGTTTCATAACTGAAAAAAAATCCTGCATTCTTATTCTAAACAAATTGAACCAACTCACTATTCTGCAAATAAGCTCATGTGAAAGAGCAGTATGGTATAAATTTACGCAGTTCTCTGGTGCCTTTAAGGCAGAGTATTTGTTGAATTTGATAGCACAATAACTTTATATTTATTAGGAAATGGTCCCTTCAGGGAGAAAAAAAATCAATTCGTATATTATATATTGCACAGAAATGATGTTCTAAAATGTTACAGAATCTCGGTAAGTTTTCTCATAAAGCTAACGTGAAATGTTGGACTTCTAGTGTTATTTGGAGCAACACACAGACTGTATACATTGTGACAGCAATAACTGCAACTTCAAAGGATTCCACTTGTAAATCACTTAAAGTCACCTACTGACAGTTTCACCTTTAAAAAGTAGCAGTTTGGACATTATCAAAATACATTTCAGCTGTAAAGATACTTGTCCTTGCATGTGTATCTGGAGATGAACATGTTGGTCCATTTGAGAAGTGTCTAAGTTTCTTCAGTCAGGAGACTGCTTAAATTAAAAATCTGAACTAGTATGAGCATCTGGATATGGTAACAGAAGCCAGCATGCTGCTGGTTCTCTTAGAGAATCAGAAATATTGACACCAGAAAAAAAACTTGAGTCCAGATGAAGCTTTATGTTGTCCTAATTATTAAGACTCAGAGTACTGATGTGATATTTCTTCTATTCACTGACTGTTCCTCAGATTTGTTACTACTGAGCTACAGCTTGTTAGATAAGAAATCTCATCTAACAATGTCATATCACCCCAGCTGCATATTTCTAGTGCTATACCCATGCTTGTTAAACTGACTACTGCTGTATCTACAAGAGACATCTTACAAGACAGTTTTTTTTTCCACAGCTTGTTAGCTTTCCTTGCCACGTGTATCTTTTTTAGAAATTAAACACTTGCCATTTGTAGTAACTTGGTCTTTGCAGTCATCCAAAGATCATAATGTTGTGACTTACCTTTGAAACTGACTGCTTTGCTTCACGTGGAATGCAATTGGATCTCTTCTCACCCTTGGACTTGACAAATATAACTCCTCCCTGCAAGAACAGTCACATCGTGCATAGTAAATATACTTCCAGAAGACTTTTTCCCTGTATTTTTTTCCTTCACTTAGTAGCTTCATCTCAGTATCCTTCAATCATTTCTTTCCACTATATTGGCTGCCTATGAAGTACTGCAGATTTCTCTAGTCCTTCAGTGTTGAAGACTACAAGCATCTTAGCAGTTGGTGTCATACCCTGCTTTTAAAAGGCAGCGCATTACATGCAGGTAAGTTTGGGATCATCCAGGCAGCACAGTTGCATCTCTGAGCCTTCAAGTCACAAGCACTCAGCAAGCTGAAGCACACATCTTTACAGTTTACCAAACAGAGCATTTTCAGTGCTTGGTTCAGCACAAACTTAGAATGGTAATAGTGGTAATAATATCATTTCCTTATTTAAGCATCTAACTTAAACAAAAACCAGTAACAAAACTGAGGTATCCCCAACTACTGCCTGTACCAACTTAGCTGTCTTTATATTGTGTTACAATTTCTTAACAAAACTGCAATATTCAAAGAAATAAATAGTGAAACATCTGCATTTCCAAAAAGACTTCCAAGACTACATTTACAGAACAGCAGGAATTCATCCAAATGTTTTGGTTGCTCACAATTTAAAAAACATTTTGTAAGTGTCCAGTTTACCTCTTCCGAGTACTGCAACAGAGAGCTGCTTACCCACAGATATGAATAAAAAAAAAACAGCGTATGGAATTTACTAACTCAAAGCTCCAAAGCAAGAGAGATCCTCTTTTCTCACCTTCTTTTCACCCACATTCTACACTACACCAGTAGCCAGACGGTAGAAACTTGTTCCTTGAAGACATCAACTTCATCATCAATTTGTGTACAAAAATTAATAAGCAGATGATCTCAGATTACAGCTAGAAATGTAGGCTATTCAAACCACGCAGCTGGCTTAAGTTTTTGTTGTTTCCAGTTTCAAACATTTTATTTAAAGACCTTAAGTCTAGGCAAAAAAAATGAGCAATACAAACAGAAGGAAATTATTGCAATTCAGAAATATTCCAGAGGATGTGACAAGGTTTAGAGATGGTTCTGGACATGAGTTAAAGGAACAAGCTGCAATGTTCTAATGACACAAAAAGTACTACAAAAGCAAGGGAACAAAGTCTTTGGAAATGAGAACAAACCCAAATGCAGCAGCCACAGAAATGAAAGAAAAGCACAGTTTACTTTTAGAAAGCCCCAGGTAGGCAGGAACCTACAGCAAGAGATGCCCTCGCCTCCACTGCCAACCATTAAGTGAGGAATGGGAAGGAGTGGACCCTGGCTCTACCCCTTCCAGTTACTCAGGTGTACTGCACACACCTGAGCTCCCTTGGGCTGGCCCTGTCTTCCCACCAGGTGCTCCATCACTGCTTCAGGCCATCACTCAGCATTTCTGCTACACAGGTGAAAAAATATGCCAAAATTAACGTTTTCGTAAAGACAATTATGGTTATAGTCCCTGCTCTTTCTAGTTATGTTTTGGAATAGAGAACAGAAAACAGTAACTTGATATTTTGAAATATTACAGACTAATTCTCATTTAAACACTTAGCAAACTGCAAATAAAGGCATTTGTCTGTATATACATGCTGTAGAATCAATATCCACTGTTGCAAAAATTCCAGTATTATACCACATAATACCTTAAGAATAAACCAGCATCAATGAAGTGCTTATTTTCTTTAATCAGTGCAGCTAGAAAATGACAAAAAAAAAAAATTAAAAAATTGCAATGAAATTATTGCCTTCATTACAAGTTAAATACTTTCTATCTTTCACTTTAATGTTGTCTGTATTTAAGCAATGTTGACCTACCAATAGCAAACGAAAAGGTACTTCTTCACTCCTCTAGCAGAAGTGCTAAGTGATGGCCAGAAGCAGTGATGGAGCACCTGGTGGGAAGGCAGGGCCAACCCAGGGGAGCTCATGAGTGCGCAGTGCACCTGAGTGACAGGAAGGGATGGAGTCAGGATCCACCCCTTCCCAGCTCTCATTTAAGGGCTGGCAGTGAAGGTGAAAGCATTTCTTTTTAGAGATCCCTACCTACTTGAGGACTTCAAAAGGTAAGCAGCTCTCTTCCTTCATTTCTGCATCTGTGGCTGCTGCAATTGGGCTTGTTCTCATTTGCTGTAGCCAAAAACTTTGTCACCCTACTATTATCATCCCATTATAGCATTACAGCTCTTAAAATTATTCTGTCATAAGAAGTTTAGTTAACGCTCTTAATGATAGATGCTGTCTTATTCAAATCAAGTTTGCCTTACATTGAAATCCTTCACAATTAGCTTATAAACTATTCAGGAATCTATTCAAAGTTACATCCTTTTACAAGAGTATGCTAGGAAGATTACTGTTAGGCAACAGAGAAGCTGCTAAAGAAACTACTCACATAAAATAAGTTGTGAATACATTTCTTCAGGGTGTTTTTGCACAGACACACCGCTGAATTAAAAGCTAATTATTGCGTGGTAAGTAATCTGAAAACAAACAAACCATAAGGTGGTGAAGCGAATTGCTGATACAAAATTATGGAGAGTAGAAAAAATAAACTCAGCTGAGCAAATCTGCATACAAGCTCACAACCCTGAGGTCATGTGCAGGTTGTGTTTAATGTAAATAACCATGTAACATGTATGGAAAAGAATTCCATCCTTACCTGTATAACTATCTAGTGGATTTAGCTGTTAACACTAAAGGCTATCCTGTGATCTATGAAGCGACAGTGATCAGTGTTCAATGTTTCTTCACTGTTCAGCAGAACAATGTTCAACAGTGCTCAGTTTGTTGGCTTGCTTTTTTCTCTAACCAAAACAAACAAAAGACAAACAGGAGATAGGAACTATAAGGGAAGAATTAGTCTGGGACGTGGAAATCAATTTTTTTGGCCCAGTGTAAATCCATCTGCAATACTTCTGATTCAGAAAGCGCTAATGTCACAGTGAGCTGTGCTCAGGGTGGTAAGGGATCATATGGTGTCACATCTGGTGCTCTTCTTCAGGCACTTTCTGCTGTTACAGCTGAATATGTGCGCATATGATATTCCTAAGAGGATCACAATGTCTGGTTACCTCTGGAACATGTTTATAGCTGAATTCAATAGAATAGAAAAAAACAAAGGGGCTGTGGTAATATCTCAGCAAGGAAAACATCTGTATCCATGTGCCCACCTGGCTGTGGGTGAAACGATGTCAATAACACGGGAATAAAGGCAGGAAATCCACGTTCTCTTTGGGAATGCTGTTCTCTCTGTCATTCTCTGCACCGGAGGAGACCGAAGCAAAGAGCAGAAACTTCCTCTAATCCAACCTTGCTCTTCAAGCCTTAAAAATAACGGTCCGTAGGACAACGCCACGCTTTGCAGCGCGCACAAGCAACTTTCCCTCAGCGTTCAAAAGCAAACAAACAAAGACGAGAAGGGAAAACCCACACGCCCAGAGCCCAGCTCCCGTTGCCTCAGGCCGCTCGCCCCGTCCCGCGCGGCTCTCTCACAGCCCCGACGCCGCCGAGCCGCTCCGCACAGCCGGCAGCCCGCTCCGTCACCTCGTGGCGGACGGACGCCGCTGCACGCGCTCGGGGCGGGCACGCGCGCGCGACTTCTCCCCCTCCCCCAACCCCTACCCCACACACATCAACCCCGCCTCCCCCTCCCTCCCCGCTTCCCGCGCAGCCGTTACCGCGTGGCAGTTCGCGCGCAGCCGCTCGCGGGGCGCGTGCCGCCTCAGAGGCTTCCGCGCGCGCCGTGCGCAGAGTGTGAGTGGAGGCGGGCTGGGGCCGTGCCCCGCCGACGGACCGCTCCTCCGGTGAGCGCTGGGAGGCGACAGCGAGCTCCTCCCGCCGGATCCGTTCCGGGGAGAGCGAGCCGAGCGGCCAGACTTTTACCTTTTCTCTCTTTTCCCGTCGCTCTCCCCACCATGCTCCGGACGCCGCCGCCCGCGGGGCAGAAGCCGCGGCTCGGCCCGGCGCCCCTCTCCTGAGGCGATGCGGGAGGCGCCGGCGGGACGGAGCTAGCGAGACCCCCGACCGCCATGCGGGAAGAGAGAGAAGCGGCCGCCTCCGTCTCCCGCCGCGGCCCCGGCAAGCCGCCGCCGCACCGCCCGCAGCCGGACGGCGCGGGGCCGCCGCCGCCGCCCCCCCCGGCGCCGCCCGAGAGCCTCCGGAACGGCTACGTGCGGGGCTGCGCGACCCCGCCGCGCCGGGACCCCCCGGAGAGCGTCCCGACCCC